TAATGTTGAACTGATTTAGCAAATATGGATAATGCAAAAAATGAAAAAGCTATAATCTCCCAAATCAGTACTAATTTTCATTGGTGACATATGCATATACTTGTACATCTTATAACTTTATTTTTTATGGAAATGAGCTTATTTTGTAATGTTTACATATATATATGTGTATATATATATATGTGTATATATAATGTTTATATATGTATATCTATCTATCTATATCTATCTATCTATCTATCTATCTATCTATCTATCTATCTATATATATATATATATATATATGAGAGGGAGAGAATATATGTTTATTTTTGCCTGCATGTACAAACATATAATACTGCTTTAATCATCTATGCAGGTAAAACTTTAGGTATATACTCATATGTGTTTCCTTAGAATATATTTTTAAAAAGAATTCTTGAGTTGTACTTTACAAGCTATGTTTCATTTTCTTGTATAGAATATTATAGGAAGGTGTGATATGGGCATCCATTATAGTGCATATGCCCATTGGCATATCACATTCCATTTAAACAACACTGTGAAGTTTAAATATTTTATAGAAGAAGAAATTATAGACAATAAAGGCAGAGTAACTGCTCTGTGATTGTAAGGTTAGTAGCTCTCGATATGTAGGCAGCCATACTTTGTAATATTATTGAGAATCATTTCTAATAGTTATACAAAGTATAATTTTCATTAGAAGTTACCATTGAAGATTTAAAATAGATTAATCACATGCTGGCTTTAGTCAAACGATGGTTTCTTTATCCCCTTAGGATCTGATTTGTGATCTAATTAAAATCCCTTAATTATAATGCATACTTATATTATTCTCAACCCAAATATTAAATACCAGTAAAGACTAATATTTACTATAAAAATAAATATGAAGTAGAGGTTTTACTTCTCAAATACCACACGTGGATAATTTTATACACCTTTGAGATGAGTAAAACCTATATTTGAATTACTCTGATCATCAGTCTTTCAATAGAAGAACTAGATCATCTAAGGTTTCCTTCTACTTTTTCCAATTTATTCACTGATTGAATGAACGGTGCCAGGCACTGGGCTGAGTCAAAATTGAAGCAGAATATGTAGATAACTCTTCACGGGTTATCTACATATTCTTAAAGGGGAAAGAACAAAGTGCACTAACAAAAATAACACTAGCAGGTGGAACAGATAGTTCTGAAATCCCAATGGTTTAGAAAAAGAGTTGCCTTTCTCTCATGTAAATTATGCAATGGGTATGCATTAGTCTCCCCTTATTTTCTGGGGATAGGGTTCAAGACCGTATCCAGTGGAGGCCTGAAACTCTGAGAGTACTGAACTCTATATATACAGGTTTTTTTCTGCATACATACATACCTATGATGAAGTTTAATTTATAAATTAGGCAAAATAAGAGATTAACAGTAACTAATAATAAAATAGAGCAACTATAAAAATATACTGTACTAAAAGTTATGTGAATGTGCTCTCTCTAAATATCTTTTGTACTGTACTCATTCTTCCTGTGGTGATACGAGATGATACAGTGCCTATGTGATGAGAAGAAATGAGGTACTCAGAATGGTACACAATTTACAACTTATGAATTGTTTATTTCTGGAATTTTCCATTAATATTTTTGGATTGAGTTTGAGTGTAGATAACTGAAACCGCGGAAAATGAAACAGCACATAAGGGGGATTACTGTACCTGGTCAGCTGGCAACTGTCCTCCAAATAGTGGTTCAGATTTCCGTGTTACTGCTTCTTGTAATGGCTCTGCCGTTCTTGACCACATGGCTTCCAAAGTTGCTCTAGTAAGGGAAAGAGCACGGGGAGTCACATATGGGAAGTTTTCATGGGCCAGGCCTATATCAGCACATATTTCTATCCTCACTGAGAAGACCGCGCTAACTGCAGGGAAGACTGGGGAATGTTGGATAGCTGTGGACTTAGTAGGAAGAGAAAATTGGATAGTGCAGTAGGTAGACTCTCTGCCATAACAAATGTGGTCAAGAGAGCTGGTGAACATGAGAGGGTTGAGGCCGCTGCCAGCCTAACACAGCATACTCTTTACAGCATGCTGTTGCTTTCTTAATTAGTAGAAAGAGTACACTCTAAAATAATGATCGAAAGTATAGTGCAGAAATATATAAACCAGTAACATATTCATTTGTTATCATTATCAAGTATTATTTACCTTATTATTTACATAATTGTATGAATATGCACTGTACTTTTATACAACTGTCAGCACAGTGGGTTTGTTTACACCAGCATCACCACAAACAACATGAGTGATGTGCTGCCTCTGACCTTACCGTGGCTATGGCATCACCAGGTGATAGGAATATTTCAGCTTCATTATAATCTTATGGGACCACTGCCATATATGCAGTCTGTTGTTGACGGAAGCATTGTTAGTGGCACGTAACTGTAATGTCATTTTTGAGTCACATTAGTTATTATTTTTAATGATTTCACCATACAATTATGAAGAAGATAACTTAAGGCATAGTATATTAATCTATATTTGTAGTTCAAACCAGCTTTGAAATTGGGATATTTCCATCTATATTCAAATTAATAATTAAGATATCATAATGTAGATTTAGTTGCTTTCTCTATTACATTTGCTTATAAAAGTGGAAAAGTATCACAAATACTTTAATGAGAGTTGTTTTTTTAATTTGGCTATGAAGGAACATAGTATTTTGTGCGTTTATGGGTGTCTTTTTTTAAGCTATCTAGAGGAGCGAGAAAAGAATAGACAGGTATTGGTATAAACACATACGTGAAATATACTTGGTCAATAGATGGTATCATGTAGCCTGATTATGTACTCTAATTTAGAATTAGAAGACTCCTGAGGAAACTATAGAAAATTTTTTTAATATGTTCTGTGGAATAAAAACTTAAAAAAAAGAAATCATAGATGGAAGGTACCTTAATGCCTACCTAAGTCCAACATCTCACCAATAGCACAAGTTCACCCCAAACCATCTCCAACAATTCCATTTGATTTCAGGGATAATAAGCTTACTAGCTTTCAAGGGGACATATTACTGTTAGGATTTTATTTCTTAAATTGAGCAAAATATACTTTCTCATAAAATCCCTGCCATCATTTCTATTTTTACTTCATAAACTTTAAGATGACAACTTTTTAAATTGTTTGATATAGGTGGATATAACTTTTTTATTTAAAAATTTCCCAGTTCTTACCATTAAAAATATATGAAAGTTGGCAAACTTAATTGTCTGACTGTGTGTGTGTTTGTGTGTGTGTGTGTGTCTATGAGAGAGGTTTTCCAGACTAATAAATTATCTTCCTAATACCTGTATCTGAAGGTGCTTAGAGATGCCTATCCTCTTTTGTAGTTTGACTCATGACATTTCAACGTGAGGATAACCTTTCACAGAGAATAATCAACTGGAAGATCAATTGTGTGTCAGTACTAGTAATACCAGTCTTGATGTTTTATACTTATGAAGGTCAAGTCAGAGGAAAGTTTCCTTATTGTATTTTACCTTTGCTTTGACTGTATTATATTATTTTAGAATTTGTATTTTATGAAATATTATAATTTACAAATTATTTTCACGTAAATTACATCATTTAAGTTTTTACAGTGTTTTAAGATAACCTAGTTTCAAATATTTGCCCTTTAAAGTATGTGGAAATTAAATTCAGTAAGATTAATGTGTTAGGAGCCATCATGTAGCAAAACACTGTAAGAATCAAGACGAGAACCTCATTCCTTTCACTTTAACTTAATTTAATATCATTATAAAGAATAAGTTCAAGGTGCATTAAGAGTGACTGGAACCTTGTCTTATTATTCTATGTTAACATACATACAGGCATATGTGAATGCACGCCCCCACACACATACACACACATTGAAATAGGTATTTTATAATTAGAAAGGCCATTAGTGTACTGATTACTAGAGGAAATTGTAAGAACATTAGCCTGTGTTTTGAATCCTGAGTTCTCTTAATAAACAGTTAAGACCAGGATATTGCTGTGAAGTTCACGTTGTGGAGCATATAGTCTCCAAATCCGACTTGACCCTTGAAATTATATGTCACAACTATGAGAGTTCCTTTAACTTTTTTGAAAATGCTTTGATGAAAGAATCAAATTGCAGTGGAAATAAAAGATTATCAATCTTGCTTGATTTTATAAAGTTATAATGACAGTAGGTATGTGAAATGTCAAAACATTTAACTGGGTGTGAAAATAAATTAACCTTGGTATATATTCAAAAGTACTGTTTTATTTTGCATAACTTGGTCTGCTCAATGTTCAACTTCATCCGTATCTAATAAGTATATTAAAAAATAGGAAAGTTTTACATTTTGAAGTTTTGTGTCACATAGTTATTAAGTCTTAATGATTAGTCAGTTCATATTATAATATATGTCTAGACTTGAAAGGCAACATGCAGCATTGAGTTAATTAAAATAGATTGTTTCTTGGAGGCAAGGGGTAGGATAAAAAAGGTGAAGGGATTAAGAAGTACAATTTGGTAGCTACAAAACAGTCATGGGGATGTAAAGTAATTCATAGAGAATATAGTCACTAATATGGTAATAACTATGCATAGTGCTAGCAAATATTAGAATAGGCAGCAGAATAAATTCTTTCATTACATACCGTATTTCCCCATGTATAAGACACACCCTTTTTTGAAAAATTTGGACTCTAAAAACGGCGTGCATCTCATAAATGTATAACCATTTTGCTGTATACCTGAAATTAACATAACATAATATAGAGTGTCAAAATAATAAATAAATACATAAATAAATGTAAAAAATATTAATATTAAAAATTAAAAAGTAAAATAGGTTGTTTCTTTAGTGTCGTGTATGGTTTGTAAGTATTAAGCCGATATAAATGTAATACACTTGTGAATCAAATCCAACACATGAGTTTATTCAGTTCATTATCTGTGTGTTTGTATGTATATATGTGTACCTGTGTGTGTCTTACAGCTGTTATTTCAAGAAACCAAGAAGGGCCAGGAGAAATGGGCAAAGCTGTGCTGATTCCTAAAGATGACCAGGAGAAAATGAAAGAACTGTTTAAAATCAATCAATTTAACCTTATGGCCAGTGATCTGATTGCCCTTAACAGAAGTCTGCCGGATGTAAGGTTAGAAGGGTGAGTGTACATGTGTTATATAATCTCATATATTTTGGAATATCTCAGAACTTTAATTAACTCAGGTTATGTCAGTTCCAGAATTATTTGGTTCTTAATAACTATGCCATAGCAAGAATTTACTGTGCATGCATATGATGAGAAATATGAACCATTTTCTTCTCTGGCAGAGCAAAATATGATATTTGAAAAAAAAAAAAGCACTGCAGAACACACAAGCCTAACAAGTTTTTCTTCATGAGATATTTTTTGTTTTATTTTGCTTTGCTTTATCTTGCCAAATATAGAGCAAACATGCTCTTTGTAGATTATTTTCTTGCCTACATCCACAACACTTTGCTTTGAAAAACTCTAGGCTTTGCTATACCAGTGTAAAAGTAGCCAATTGCCTGTATAATTCTCTGACTCTTTAAAAAAATTATTTATTATGGGTTCCAGCAATTTATGCTGCTGTTTATAATTAGATGGCCCAATTATCGGCCATGGAGGAAATATTCACTTGGAAATAATAATTCTGCATAAAAAATTAAGTTGAAAAATTAAACTTGTATGTGATTAACTAAGGCAAGCACTAGATAGCTGAACATATTTTAAATGGATGTCATAAAAATTAGAATATTTATTGGCAGTATTGTCATCCTAGTAGATAGTCCTTGTAAAGCAAACTCTTAGCACTCAGAAAGATATTCCCTAAGATTTCAGAAAATATCCAAGTTTACTGGTGTGCTGCAGAACACACTTCTGTGCAAATAGAAGTTGTTCTTTTAGACATGTAATGACTTTTTCTATATTCAACAAACTCATAGTTAATGCAAATAATCTTTGACACATATAATGGGTTTTATTACATTAGTAGTATAGTGATGTTAACATCATGTTACAAAATCTTATTTTTTTTTCTCCTTTCTGAATTACTTCAAATAAGCCCCAAGTAGAGTAACCAAAACCTTATTGAGATTGTGGGTCAGGGTTGTCAGAAGGTTCATTTGTTTGCTAGATTAACTGGTTTTTGTGCACTCTTATAATAAGCTTCTGAAGTGTATCTGTCAACAAAACCACAAATAACTACATATTATGGATATTTTTGGTTTCCAGCAAATGGTTAAAACACCAAACACTACATTTGTGCTTTCTAAAGGCCTAAATGATTTTATAGGTAATTCTGTTCATATTTGTATTTGTTTGTATGTGTATAGAAGCATTGCAGTTTACAAAGCACAATAAGTGTATTCTGAATAATTTGAGGATTTTTGATGCTAAGTTTATAATGTTATAGTGTTACATTTATTACTTGGATTTACACACCATGCTGAGACAAACATGGGTAAATGTGATACTTAGGTATTTAGGAAAACTATGTAAACACTAGTTCAAATTTAAAAATATTTATTTTCACCTTTCAGAACTTAAATAAATTAAATTTTATGTCATATCTGGGATTATTAAGGTAATAATGTTTTAGTAGAGAGCCATCACTTAAAAAAATAAAATAAAATCTTCATTGAGAAACCATTTAAAATATTAGTGGCCAGTACTATATCTTTTTCAAAAAATCATCTAACATATTAAGTACTTGAATAATTAAATCTTAAACTATGGAACAATTTAACATTTTAAAAATGGAGGATTCAAATTGCTTACTATTAAAAAGTACATGAAATGCCATGCTTACTGTGAATCATATTGCTTGAATTTTGAGATTTTGCAAATAGACTATGAAATAATATCAGTGAAATAAATGATTTTTTATTTCATTTTTATATCACACCACAGTGTATGCTATCATTAAACAACAACAGAAAAACATAAATACCATCCAAATTTTCTAGACAAATCATAAAGTGTATGTGAGGCTCACTGGAGACATTTGCAAGTCATCTTGAATGACTCAATTGTGTGACTGCCTGGGAACAAATGTTGAAAAACACCCCATGAATCAGATATACAAACTGTTATTTGAAAGATGTCAAAATCTGTTAATACTCATTTGATGCAGAGAACATTTTTTCAATGTTGGTATTAGTTACAGTTCAATTTTTTAACAGTTATATCTTAAAGGGATATATGGACATATTAAGCTAGCTTTATTTAATGATTTCTGATGTAAATTATATGCAATATAAAAAGAGGGAGTTCACAAATAGTTTTTAAAAAGCTTAATTTATTTAGTGGAAAACTTGAGTTGATATTTATTTAGAAATTGTCTGCACTGCCCAAACGGTTAATTCATTTAAATATCTTAGCATATTTTATTAAAACACACTCTTAAACTGACTCAACTGAATTCAGAAAATTGTCCAAATAGTTTAATGTTGTGTTTGGCTTTAATATCAATCTACAAATATTTGAGGATGTTTTCAGAGGAATAAATCTAATTAAATACCTCATGTTTTCATGGACAGGAGACTAGATAAAAATAGTTTTTCTTGGAGGCAACTATGATGAGACATCAGTACAAACTGAAATTAAGTTCTGGAATGTCCATCCCCAGGGATGTATAAATACTTAATTTACTTATTCACTTAGTATGTTTAATTTATTAATATTTGTAATACATTTATAGTTGATCTTTATTTAAGGGACATGATATAATTGTACCACATATAAGCATGGTACTTGGTTATATTAACACATTGTGGACCGGTGACACAGATTTGTGTCTATATATTTAAATGTTCCATCCTCAATTTAAGTACAGTCAGGCTGAAGGCCTTACTAAATTTCTTACTTTCTTGAAGGGAGGTCCTCCATTTCTGGGATTCTTGTTGAAGTCTGCATATATGTATAAATAAAATTCCAGGTACATGTAACCAATTCTCTCCTTCCTTTGCCCATCCTCCATAAATTTAAAAAAAAAAGCAATATCATAAAATTCTGAGTCAGAACTAATAATAATAATAATTAAAATATATTAAAAGCATTATTTTTGAGCACCTAATATGCTAATATGTGCCAAGTACTGTTCTGTGTGCTGGGGATATGGCAGTGAACAAGATTAAGTCCTTGCTTCATGAAATTTAGAACAAATTAAAGAATGAAGAATAGTAAGGGATAGAGAGTAGAGTAGTGAGTGAAGGCTTCTTTGGAGAAACTCACATTTGAGTTAAGTTGAGTGGACCTTAAGCATCTAAATATTATAAATTCTTTTTAGTAATACACAGAGCTGTTAATTATTTACTGAGTTCCTGGAATGGACATGGACAATGCTAGAAATATAACAGACCTATGGATATATAAAGCTATAATTACACAAAAGCAACAAAACAAACATTAAGTACTTAGATGTGTTTGTGTGTGTGTGTGTTTGTGTGTGTGTGTGTGTGTATTATATTTTTGAAGACAGTGTTTGAATTTTATTTCCATGAAAGTCAACAAAAATCACATTTTGGTTTGTGAAGTTTCTGTAGCTAACGTTATCCCATGCTCTAGGATTTCCTGGAAGTAGAGAAAATAATATAACTGTGATTATCATCAATGAGGTGGGTACATGACTCTGTTCCATTAAATGCAAAACAAAATAAGGGGAACAAAATGCCAACTGTCAAGATTTTTTCAAGTAATTAGGGGTAAAATCTAGAGATACAGAACCAAAGCACATAGGTTTAATATCTATGGCTTACTTTTGGACCTTGGATAAGTAATTCATTTTCAAAGTCTTAGTTTCCTTTCACTGATTAAACCGACTGATCAGTCAACCAGCCAACCAATCTTTGTCATTTACCTAGTACAGAGCTAGCTTTGAGAACAAACATAAATGGATGTACCAGTCCCTGACTATGAGGTGTAAAAGGAATATATTTACATTAACAACTAACTATAATGTTATATGAACACACCATTAATTGCAAAAATGACAAAGTAAGAATAGAATTATGCTGAGTTCCTAGTGACATTTTTATGTGTATTATTGGTATTCTGTGGAATTCTATTATGCGTTAGTCTTTTTTGAGCTAAGCAAGCTAACTTTTTAAGCAATCAGCTTCTCCCTTTACTCTGTAATTCTTTTTGAATAAGAAATTAACAGGGCTGGCTGAGTGGCTCGTTGGTTAAGAGTTGGCTTGGGAGTGCGACTTCTGAGCAGCAGGTCCACCGGTTTGGATCCCATATGGGCCAGTGACACTGTGCCCTCTACAGCTAAGATGGTGAACAACAGCTTGACCTGGTGCTGGGCTGCTGTGAGTCACCAGCGATGGTGTAGGCTGCACTGGGACTGCAGTAGGCTTCCATAAGCTACCGTGAGTGGCTGGCAGCCGGCGTAAGCTGCTGTGAGCTGCCGTGAGTGGCCATTGGATGGCTGGCGACTGATCTGCATCACCCGGGAAGAGCACAATGATAATACCAGTATGGGCCAGTGAAGCAACGTCCTCCACAACTAGACAGAAGGACAAAACGACAGCAACTTGTCTATTCCCCTTCCCTGATTCCCCAACGCTGTTCTCTCCCTCAATTCCCCAATAAAATCTTAAAAAATATAAAAAATAAAAAAGAAATTAACAATAATTATTGGGCGAATATTTATTCAAAAAACTATGGGCAATTAAAGCAAAATGTTAATGTTCTTTAGTATTTACTTATATTCAGACATTTAATAGCACTTCAAGTTCTTGTATTGAGTGAGTTATTTGAAGCTTATAATGCAGTTAGCATTTGAATATAGTTCATCAGGAAAAAATGAAGAAATAGGAAATTTATTTCAGCTGTTTATATCATAGACCAAGTAACTGCTACTTACATATGCATACTTGCTAGCTGATAAAGAGAAAAACAAAAACAAAAACAAAACCCTGGCTGTCTTGCATTATTAATGGAAGAAGCGCAGCAGCATACACATTCTGAATAAGTTGCCCTCAAAGGCAAAGAGTTTATTTAATACATAAAATAGAAATAAACCATAGTATATATTTTTTCTGTGATCAGTCTCATAAATGTACCTGTCCATTTATATGGATTGCCTTTCTCATAAATTAAAATGTGAGAAATGTAACACTGAGTGCACAAAG